CAGCACAAAGGCCTGGCGCGGGAGGGGGGCTTGCCCACGTGGGTTGGCCCTGGCCCCGGGGGGACCCTCCCCACGCGGGCGGGCGCGGAGCTTCCTGCCGCGCGGGGCGGAGTGTGTGTGTGTGTGTGTGTGTGTGTGTGCGCGCGCGCGCGCGCGCGCGTGTGTGCCGGTCGGCGGGGGGTTGCAGGTCTGGGTGCTCGGGCCTCGGTGCAGGGCCAAGCGCCCTGCAGAGCCAGCGAGTTTCCGGGGTCAATACTCGGCTCACGCAGCTGGGGCTTCGGGGTGGACAGGGCCCGGCGTGGCGCCCAAATCAGAAAGAGAAAAAGTCTCTAACGGGACAGATGTTCGTCTCTGACGCCCACCCCACGAGTAGGAAAAGGGACGGGAGGGGCCGGCGCACTGGTGGTCGTCCCAGGCGCGCGGGGCTTGGGCCCCCAGGCAGGCAGCAGGGACACCGGATCGCTGCCTAGGATCCCAGTTGCCAACCGGTACTCCGGACCTGGACGCGCGCACGGGGCGCACACTAGAGACACCCACCCCCGCCCGCCCACGTAGCGAGAGAGCCTTTCGGTCCACCCGCGACCCCCACCCCCGCCTGCAGAGGGATAAGCTTCAAGTTTTCCCTCGGTGTCTCAGTGTGCATGAAGGAATTTAACTGCACGAGTGAATAACAGCATTAGTTTCAATTAATTTTTTTTAAATCCCGGCAACAATAAACTTTGAGAACAAAAGCGCTTTTACGTCCTTAATTAGGCGAGCTTCCCATCTGTGGTCTCTAAGTGTCTGCCTCTTGATTTAACTTTGTCCTCCGCCCCGCCCCCGCCGCACACCCCTCCCCGCCCTGCTCGGCGCTTCGGGTTCCCGGGCCACCCCGCCCCGCGGCGCTGCGGGCTTTGGCCCGCCGGCTTCTGCCGCCCCGAAGTTCTCTCGGGCCGGCGGGCTCCGTAGAGGGGCTGGCGCGCACCAGGTGGCCCGCCCACCTCCCTCTGGGCCCACCTCCTGGACAGTTCTGCTGGCCCCTGGCACCCTCGCCCGGGGCTGGCGCCCATGGCGCTGAGCTGGAGGGAGCTCGCTAGGCGCCTTCTGTTTACCTTTTATGGTTAAAATAACAGCTTAGCAAAGAAGCGACTTCATGAAGAAGCGATTTAGTGAAATCGTCTCAAGCTGCCGCAGCTCAGCCAGTTTAATCACCCCCAGAGAGCTGAACAACTGCGAGCACAATGGGACACAAAATCATTTTGTGTGTAAATGAGCGTGGCATTCTGCTCGCTTCCCTCTGCTCGGGCGGGCGGGGCTGGGCTGCAGGCGGGCGCGGGACCCGGTCTCCCGCCGCAGCTCCGAGGAGCGGGTCAATACCCAGCCGGTTTGGAAACCTGCGGGCTCTCCAGCATGCTCCCGCCCAGGCTCCTGCAACAGGCGGTTTGGCAGAGCCTCGGGAGGGCGGTGGCCGCTGGGACTGGGTCGTGGGTTGATGCTGGTGTTGGCGGAATGAACTTGTGTCTCTTACTGCATCCGTTTTTGTGCTTCTGACCTCAGGGGAGAGGGTCGTCTGGCATCGATGCATTTATCGGAGGGAGCACTGGAGGTTCGAGTCAAGGCTTAGAGCCTGGGGCTTCCAATGGTGAGTTTTCTGGTTTGCCATGGCTTGTGCTTGCAGGGGAAAGAGAAGGGTGAGAAAAGGACCTAGCAGCTTCTGTGATGGGTACTTGGTGTTAGAAGCCACTTTTTAGTTCCACCCCGGGTGAGGAGACCTGTGCTGTTTGGAGCTGATAGATTTCCACTGGAGTTGCTTCCAGCCGGTGTATACTCTGTGCCTTTCCTTCTGACTCCTCCTCCCCGGGCAGGGTAACCCATTCCTGCGCTCTGTTTTGGTTTCTCAGAACTTCCTTGAGATAAGTGACCTGGTTTTCTTTTTAAAGCGTGTGGGAATCCAGGAAGGTCCAAAACAGCAAGCCCCTGTGACAGGATGAATTAAAAGTTGGTGGCTGCTAATAGCAGCCCCCTCCCCAGATTCGTGGCAGGGAAACTGGTGGGGACACTGAGGGCGTTGCATAGCTGCGGAGAGGAGCCTTAAAGCTGCGGGATTTCATTCCCATTGGAACTTGCTCCGTGGTTTAAAATTGGATGTTGAATTTCAAGCACAAAGTCATTCTTTAAGGGAGGTTGCGCCTTCAAGAACTAAGTCCAGGTTAAGTTCTGGAAGTCAGTGGCAGGCAGGAAAGGGGGAGAGTGAAAGGGGAAGAGTCGCTGTGCAAACCTCCCCCACCTGGGAGCCCCAAGTCAAATGGAAGGTTTCAGGCGACAGAAACCTGCTTCCCCCCCCCCCCCCAGCTGGCTCAAGGCCTGCAGCATGCCCTGTGGGGGCTTCCGGAGACGGAGGGCAATGTAATTTCAGGTGCTGGTGGTGGCACAGCCCGCAAGCCCTTGGAGGCGGGCAGGACAAAGCGTCCATTTGCTGAGAGGCTGCCTGTTTCCTCTGGCCAGCTCACTAATGCCTTGGGGGACACGATCCTCAGGGATCTGGAATACATTAGGCACAGACAAGACTCTTCCAGGGGTCTGGGGAGAAACTGCAGAGGTGCAGGCTAGGCAAACAAAGACAAGTTTCCTCTGTTCGGAGCCAGGGGCAGTGGCTTCCTCGTGGCCCAGCTTCTGCTTAAAGGCTTCTCTGTGTCTGGCCAGTTGCAAAGTGCATCCTCACACCTGGAGACGGTGTTATGAAATAGATCCTGGGCGCCCCAGTCTGTGGAGGGGGGACCCTCCCCAGGCTGTGGTCCACCAGGCCCTGCTGATGCAAGAGGAGACACGCTTGGTAACATGGCTCTAGACCAAAATACCAGGAAAATCAGATTTGTTCTGAAACATTTTGGGGCAATAATGGTGAGCATATGTTTCGGTGCTGTCATTAGCCGAATTAGCAGACATGGAGCGGAGCGCCATGAAAATGCTCACAAGTGTGTAGGAGTAATCTGCTCCAGCCTGGAGGCTTGCCTTGGGGTGTGGAGACAGGGAGGAGCAGCGAGGACCAGGGGAGCCTCCCGGTGTGGCTTGGGGTCCTGCCGAGCGAGTGCAGAAAACAAGACTGGGAGCGCCAGGCTCCGTGGGAGACGTGGTGCCGGTGACTGCTGAGGAGTGAAGCCCTGTCTGGTTTGCTCTGTGCTCCCGCAGATACTCTGGGCAGTGATGGAAGCCTAGATGCCTCACCGCAAGGAGCGGCCGAGCGGGTCCTCGCTTCACGCCCAAGGCAGCACTGGCACGGCGGTGAGAGCCAGCAGGGTGGGCATCGCCGGCGGCGGCCCCTCCCCGCCCCTCCCTGGGCGCCCGCTCCCGGGCCGGCCGCCCTCGGCGTGGCCGCGGCATTGGAGAGATGGCTGTTGACTGGCTGTACAACTATGTATTTTTTGAAACGAAAATGCTCTTAATTTGATGTGAAATTTACTCCATGTATAAAACTCAGTGCCTAAGGTGCTGAGGAAGTCACTAATTTAGAGGTGTCTCCTTACTGAGACAAACTTGCAAAACCCCCTGAATCCCAATTCACAAATTGGTGATTCGTTTGTCAGGGGATATTTCACATCTAACACATAAGCCCGCGACCTTTAATTAGAATTTTGCAGTTTGTTTTATGCCCCTGGAGGCTGACACCTTGAAAATTTTTTTTTCTTGATTTCTTATTGCTAATAAGCATCCTTCTTTTCCCCTCTGGTACTTTGAAGAAAATGATGCAAATACACTTAATTACAGTGGTGGACATAATTTGTCAGCTGAATATGTGATCAGGCACAGGGAGAAGTGATCTGATTAGATCTGTGATCACCCTGGCAATAAAGGGAGCTCTGTGGTGGGGAAACTCTTGTTTCTGCCTTGTCTCCGTCTCCAGGAGGGAGGAAGCATGTCCCGGTTGTCTCTCACCCGCTCGCCCGTGTCTCCCCTGGCCGCCCAAGGCATCCCACTGCCAGCCCAGCTCACCAAGTCCAACGCGCCCGTGCACATCGACGTGGGTGGTCACATGTACACCAGCAGCCTGGCCACCCTTACCAAGTACCCCGACTCCAGGTAAGAGCGAGCCCGCCCCAGGCGCCGGGCTGTGGCGGCCGCTGCAGCCATGGGGGGCACTCAGACTCTCCAGGGCGGCCCTGCTCGTGCATACCCGGGGAGCCAGCGTTCAGGAGGCCGAGTCTGCTCCAATCTGCTCGTTAACAGCCGCTTTGTGAGGGAGAGGGACGGTGGGGCCCAGAGCTGGTGGCACTGGCAATGAATGCTAGGTGGAGTTCCGGGGCTGCTGGCGGAGGCCATTTCTTCAGAGCCGGCCCCCTCAAGCCCCCAAACTCAGCAGCCACTGGGCATCTCTCGTGCTCTCGGGTTCCCTTCAATGAGCCTCAGGCCTGGTCTGAGCAACTCTCTTTCTTGGTGTTGCATTGGGGGGCCCTGTCCCCCTTTGCTAGTCCAACCTGGGAAGGTGTGTGATGGCAAAGGGAGAGGCGTCACTTGCCATCTCTGGGGGGGTGGCCACTGCTAGACCCCACAGGCTGCTTGCAGAGACTGGCTAGGAATTCCCGCACGTTGGGGGTATGCAGATGGTATGAACCTGAGCCCTTCCGTGGATAGAGTCCGAGGCCTCCCTGCAGGGAGCCTCACTCTGCCGAGCTCCCTGGTGCTTCTGACTCCTGTAGCTGCCTGCTTTTCTGCTCTTGCCTCTCAGGCATCTCCTCTCCAGGGCAGACCTCCCTGGCTTCCCCGCTGGCAGGGCTGACGAGGGCTGGGGTGGTCTCTGGGCAGCCCCCCAGGAATGTGCACTGGTTGCTGGCTCCTGGCACTGCTGGGCGGCCCCTGCTCCCTAGTGTCCTAGGGCTGGGTAGCAGGAGGGCCCAGACTGCCAGGCATTCCCCCTATTTTATACATTTAAGATAATGAGAAGAGTTAATTAATCCCCCAGACACCACGGGGTCAGGGGTGTCTCTGGAAAGCTTCCTCTTCAGGCTCCTCGCTGTTGGCTCACGGCATCGAGGATTCGCGGTGCGTGGAGGCGGCCGCTTTGGGACTTGTGAGGGCCAGGTGGACTCCTCCGTGGGGACAGGAGTGCTCCCTCAGAAGGGGGTGCTGGAGGTGCACAGAGGTCCAGTCTGGAATCTGGGGAGCCTAGGCTCTAGACAGCAACTGGGACTTCAATGCCCAGGGGACTGGGAGCCCCGGGGGGGGGGGGTACGCAGCCACGCCTGTGCCCGCGGTCTGCCCGCTTTCAACGTGCCCTGCCCAGGGCAGGAGGTGGATTCTGCTCATTGCCTGCCGAGCCCGCCCTGTGCGGTGTTCCCGAGTTGCCCAAGATGGATCATCCCTTAATCACTTGGTGACGTTTGTAAGGGAGTTTCACAAAACCCTCGGCCGCCACAGCGCTGAAGAGCGTTTCCTGAAATCAGACACTTGCCCTTCTGGAGAAATCGCAGCCCAGGCTGCTGATTCTGAGGGCTGGAGTGGCCCGGCCCCATAGCCTCACCTCCCTCTCCCCACCTCACCGAGGTTCTGCATGCGAGGGCTTGCGGGGGAAGTTGGGGGCTCCCACCTTCTTGCCTGTGGGACCATCTGCTGCAGGCTATGCCCAGAGGAGGCAGCTGTCTGCATTCTTGCCTGGGGCTGGGGCTTTAGAAGAATCTGTTGTTCTCCCTGGGTGGCTCCAGGCCCAGGCTCCCCAGCCTGAAGCTTTAGCCTGGAGGTGGGGAGGGGGGTGAAGTGTAGAACAGTTGGGGACAGTGGGTCTGGCTGGACTCAGGAAGTGGGTGTGGCAGCTGTGCTACCAAGGAGCACGCCCCTCCCACCCACCCCGATCTCTTTCATCCTTTGAATGATTTGTTAAGATTAAAAAGTTATTTTTCCCCAATTCTGGAAACAAACATCAGGCAGCCTCTCACCTCGTGCTGGTGAGGTATGAGTCACCTGGAGAATTAAGAGTGCGCAGGCCACCCCAGGGTTCTGGAGAGCAGCATAGTTCTCCCAAGGCCCCAGGCTTCTGTGCCCACGGCCATGGCCGGCATCTTGGGTTTCTTGACTCCCACAAGAGGGGAGTTGGGGACAACCTCGAGGAGCAGCTCCTGGCAGGAGCCCGCTGGGCACTGCCAGCCCTGGGCGTGTGCTCTTGGGCTGCCACCTCACTCCTTCCTCCCTGCTGGACGGCCACTGCAGCTCCACACGTGGGTCCGTCCTGGCCTTGGGCCGTGGCAAATTCAGATGGCCAGGAGCTTCAGAATAAATAGGACCTTCCACGGACACATCCAGGAAATGGGAGCCAAAGTCTAAAGGAAAGGAAAATAAGAAAGAAGACCCTCCCTGCATCTGCTGGGGCCAGAACTGGCCTGCTTATTCCATGGAGGACTTTAGAAATTGGCACACCAGACCCTGCAGCACCCCATACAAGGCGGCCTGAGGCAGAAACCCGTGCAGACCCTGTAAGTGACCGATGTTTTTTCAAGCCCGTCGCTTTAGCCCCCAAGGGCTTGCAAGGTCTTCATCGGTGCCACGGAACCTCGAAAGGTCCACGACCAGCCAGCCAGCCCCGGAAAAGGTGGACTGAGAGCCGTCTAGCCTTGGGCCAATAAGACAACCTAGAACCCGGTCGCCCTGGACTGTGGCCGGGTCAGGGGTCTTCCAGACCGATGGGACAGTGTGGACCCCCAGCCTGCCCTGACACCAGAGGGGTCTGTGACCCGGCCAGGCGCAGCCGGGGAGGCTGAAGCTCCAGGCTTGCCACAGGTGCCACATGGGGCCCTCTGCGCTAGCTGATGACGTCCACGGCTCCTGGCAACTTTGCTCAGCCCCACTGTCTCCGAGGATGCTGGTTACCCCCATGTGACATCTGCATGCCCAAGCTCTGCTGAGGCCAGGTCTTGGGGACCTGGAAGGCTGGAACAGGCCATGGAGCCCACAGTGTCCAGCAGGGTCCTCAGCACCATGGTCCCATGCCTGGAGAGGTGACCGGACCTCGTGGTCGCTGGGGCCCTGAGATAGCGCATCGGCAGCACTGGCTCCACAGGCCTCCTGCCTCTCACACCTCGCCACAGGCTACAGGACCGCTTGCCCTTTGACAGCCCCACTGGTGAGAGTGAGAGCAGGGGACGTCATGGCTATTCCACACCCAGGAGACCCTCATTCATGGTGGACAGTTTATGTGCTCAGCCGTTAGAGTGGATATAGGTGGGAGAGCCTGCCAGGCTCAGCCCTCAGCTTTCGCCCAGCTCGTGTGTCCGGCACGGGACGGCAGGGCAGGGCCACAGGAGGCCACTTGGCGTGGACAGTAGTGTGGGCTGCTAGGGGTGAAGGGAGCAGAGCATAGCGGCGTAGGCACTGCCTCGGCCTGGGCCGTGCGGCCAGGATCTAGCTGGACCCGCAGGTGTGCACCCCTGAAGGTGATGGGGAGATTCTGCCCCTGGAGAGACCCGGCCCACTGCCTCCTGTTCCCAGATCAAGCTCTCGGCTGTCCCCACTCGTCTTTGAGACTCCTACCTGTTGACAGACCTGGGGTCTGCAGGGCAAGTCGGGGAACCAGAGCCCGCAGCCCTGGTTTGTGGGCAGGGGCAGCCCTGGCTCAGAGGCCTGCTTCCTCCCTGGGTGACTGAGGATGGGCCGAGGCTTCCCACAGGCCCCTCCTGGGGACGGGGTGCTGGGACCTGTCCCCCTCCTCGTGTGCTTGGCACATGCGCACATGGGCGTGTGTTGTGTGCTCACTGCTGAGCGTTGGTGTGTGGTGACACGCACATCATCCCTCCCTCTGCCTCTGCTCCCCTGGGGCTCCCTGGGTGGGGAGTCCCTCGGGGTCCATGGCATGTGTCCAGTCAGCTGGCCTTGGCTGCTGGCCTTTGCCTGGCTGCTGCAGGGTCGGCCTGTGATGTGCATTCCTAAGGGTGGGGGCCGTGGGACCCCAGGCTTGTTGTGCGAGTGTGTGGGTCCGGTGCCTGCTCGTGGGGGTTGGGCGAGGTGGATGTGTGTGGCCCGGGCCTGCTGGGGCTGGTTCGCACTGCTCGTGGGGTGTGTGACGGTAGCCTGGGGGGGTCTGATGGTCAGCAGGAGTCTTCTGGGTGGCTCTGTCTGGCGGGGCTTGCGTGCGTGTGGCGAGGTGGCTGTGTCTGCATCTCGCTGTAGTTTTCCAGGCCTGTTGACATGTGGCGGCGGGCTGGCGGCTGTGCACACTTGGGTGTGTCTCTCCGGCTGTGGCTTGCCAGTGTAGGTGGGTGTGTGGCCTGTGCCGGCTACGCTGTGCCCTCTCCGACTGCAGCCTGGCAGCCCCCGGTGTATGCAAACCTGTGGGGTCTGGCTGTGTCCCAGAGTCACCCACACCTCTCCCCTGCCCACTGCAGCCGGGTGTGCCCCAAAGTGTGGGAGCGGGGCGGTGGACTGGCCTCTCGTCAGGCATCCCTTGCACCTCTCCTAGAATCAGCCGCCTCTTCAACGGCACCGAGCCCATCGTCCTGGACAGTTTGAAGCAACATTATTTCATCGACCGGGATGGGGAGATTTTCCGCTACGTCCTGAGCTTCCTGCGGACGTCGAAACTGCTGCTCCCCGATGACTTCAAGGTAAGTCCGGGGCCGGCGGCTCCCCGGGCTGCCTGTGCGGTGCCGTTACACAGGGGACGTTGGGACTTAATAAATGGACCCACGGTCGTCATGGCAACCATAAAAAGTTAAACGATGCAGCCGAGGGCTAAATCAGTTTTCCTAAACTAATTTTGTTTTCTCACATTTTTAGCTTATTTATCAGGGTGTAACAACAATTAAGCGGCGGAGGCGCCTACCCTGGCTTCATGTTTGCCATGGTGAAGGCTGATGTGTGCCCGGGTGCCAGGAGTTACCGCCTCCTAAATCTGTGCCCTGTTGGCAGTTTGCAGGCAGAAAACCCTGCTTGTAAAACACCTTGTAACAAAAAACTAGCCCCCGATCTCAGAGTGCGCCTGCCTCGGTGCTGTGCTCCTCCGGGGCGCCGCAGAGGGGGCACCCCACAAATAGCCACCCCTCCTCCCACCCCACCCAGAGGCCAAGGGCCTGGATGTTTTGTCTTGGGGTTGAGGACCAGAAAAAACTCGGACTGAACACGGCTGACACAGCCCGTGCGGTCTGTCCCCACAGCACACATCGGGTGGGCAGGCAGTCATCTGGGGGGGCAGTGCTTCAAGGAAAGAGGGCGAACCCCAGAAGGCCTGGCCCGGCATGGGGCTTCTGTGGAGAGCCCACTGCTCTTGGCGCAGGGCCCGGGACAGACGGGGTGAGGGCCTTGCTGAGGGCCTGGAGCTCCCTGCATTCCAGAACTGGGGAGACGTGTCTCCCTGGGGCTTCTGGGTTGGGCTGCTGAATGCTGCCGGGACCTTGGTAGCCGCTCAGCACCAGGCGAATTCCCCTGAGTGGTGGGAGGGCTGTGAGCAGGCGAAGGAGGATCAGGTTTGCCAATGGGAAGGATGGTGTGTGCAGAAGGCAGGGGGGTCCCCAGCGGCTCGGGACGAGGCTGGAGACCCCTGAGCAGAGCTGCAGGTTAGACTCCTGTCTAAGAAAAGATCAGGAGAGGGACATGGGTTGGAGGGGGTGAGGCGATCTCGAGGGTGCCTCCCTGCCTGTCTTGAGGGTGCATGGCGGTTCAGGTGTGGGTGTGGATGTATACTCTGGCAGGTGTCGAGTAGGGAGGCTCTGGACAATGGGGGGCCATGTGGGGCTTGTTTGGTATGCAATGGCTTTGAAAAACTCAAGAGTGGATGAGAGTGAGGCCCAGGATGGAGCCCCGACTGATGACTGTTGTGGTGGGGGTAGGGCCTGTTAGAACTGGGGTTTCCCTCTGGGTAATTCAAATGCCAGGGTTGGCAGGTGGAAGGGATTGAGGGCCTAGGGGGCCAGCCCAGCCTTGGAGGATGGGCTTCCTTGCCTTTCCCTGGGGGTCCTCAGGCTCACCAGCTGGGCCTGAGCTGAGCCCCAAGGAGAGGCCACGTCAGGGGTCTCTGCTGCTCCGGGCTGAAGTGTGCTTGAGGTGCGGTTGATGTGATCCTGCGGCCAGCTAGTGGGCTGCTGGTGAGCGGGGGGGGGGGTTTCTGGCCCCAGCACCCCCCACGCCTGCAGGGCAAGTGGCAGATTGCTGCTGAGTTCTCACCCCTTCCTCTAGCTGGGAGCTGGGAGCTTTGCATTGTTGTCTATATGAGAAAAGGTCGGTAAACTGACAGAGGTCTCAGCCCTGGTAGAGGAGGCTGCCAGAATCCACCCTGACAGGTCTGTTTTGCCTCCAGGCAAGGACACAGCCTCTGGCTCTTCTGGTGGAGCCTGCGGGTCATTCTAGAGTCTTCTCTCTGCAGCAGAGGGAGAAAACCACCCCCAGTGCTTGGGGCCCTGGGGAAAGGCCTGGGGGGATCTGGCGCACAGGTGCACCGCTGGGCTAAGGCTGCTGCTTGCACCATTCCCCTGCGCCTCCTCGCCCCACCTGAGCGCTGGTCACGGTCACCGGTCCACACTGAGGGCGGGGGTGGCACTTCCCGCCTGCACGCGGAAAACCCCCTGCAGCGGAAGGGCTGGCCCCAGCGCCATCCCCTCCCCCCACGTGTGCCGCAGGACTTCAGCCTGCTGTACGAGGAGGCGCGCTACTACCAGCTGCAGCCCATGTTGCGTGAGCTGGAGCGCTGGCAGCAGGAGCAGGAGCAGCGGCGGCGGAGCCGGGCCTGCGACTGCCTGGTGGTGCGGGTCACGCCCGACCTGGGAGAGCGCATCGCGCTCAGCGGCGAGAAGGCCCTCATCGAGGAGGTCTTCCCCGAGACCGGGGACGTCATGTGCAACTCGGTCAACGCCGGCTGGAACCAGGACCCCACTCACGTCATCCGCTTCCCTCTCAACGGCTACTGTCGACTCAACTCCGTGCAGGTGAGGGCTGCGCCGCCGCCTGGCGCCCGCCACCCCGGCTCCCGCTGGCCGTGTGTGCAGCGAGGCAGGCGGAGGGAGGGGAGGGCCCGCCGGGGTGTGGCGAGGCCCTGCGCGGACCCTACAGAAAAGGCAACAATGCGTCGATGCATAATTTATATCCCGCTCATAATTAAATGATGGCGCCTGGGGAGTGGACTTAAAAAAAAATTGATCCGTGCTTTTTTTTTTTCCCAAAAGGATGTTCTATAAAAATGGCCCAGAGTAGTTTCAACAAAGTGTGCTCCATTTGACACCCAGAGTCTGATTTGGTTTCAAATGAAACCCGGGCAGTGGGGAGGCGGGGCAGAGACAGATCGCAGGTGGCCTAAGGCCTGTCCTTGCTCTGCTGACCCGGGACAGTGGCACCCAGACAGCTGGTCCAGCTTTCCCCAGGTGGGGCTAAGAGTTGGCAAGTCCAAGATGGAGCTGGGGTCTGTTTGCCTGTTTGCCAGCTGCTCTTGCAGACCCAAGAGCAGACTCCTATGTCAGGTTTCGGGCAGAGTGGGTTTGCAGGGAGCCCCCACCCCCTGCAGTCTGCAAGCTGTCAGTCAGAACTTGCTCCTCGCAGGACACAGGTGTCAGATGTGCCGACTCCACCCTCACAGGGGCACAGACCCACGTGGGCACGGGGCCTGCAGAGACTCAGCAGACAGACTCCTCCTCCCCGCTCCCGGCTCCCTGGAGCTGATGGGCCCCCAGGCCTCAAACCATCTGGGACTCACTGCTCAGGGAAGCAGGTGGCTGCCCGGAGGCAGGGTCTCTCTGTAATTGGGGCAGGCTTTGGTGAGGGAGAGGCACTGGGACCACATGTCTGGACCTAGAGGGGCAGGTTACTCCTGGGGAAAAGGGGGAAGGGCCCCCAGGCTCTCTCTGCCTTCCTGAACCAAGACTTTAGCAGACCCCTGAGGGCAGCAGGAGGGGGCTGTCTGCTCAGGTCTGGCCACTCTGTGGGCCCCGGGCCTGTCCGCGCCTGTCCCTGATGTGGTTATTCAGGTGGCCGTTCTGCAGAGACCTTTGTCAGCAAGTGAGACTGAGAGCGTAGAAGGAGGTCCCTCACCCCAGCCGGCTGACCCCCTTTCTTCCCCCGCAGGTCCTGGAGAGGCTATTCCAGAGGGGTTTCACTGTGGCCGCGTCCTGTGGGGGTGGCGTGGACTCCTCCCAGTTCAGCGAGTATGTGCTCTGCCGAGAGGAGCGGCGGCCGCAGCCCACCCCCACCGCCGTCCGGATAAAGCAGGAGCCCCTGGACTAGGCCCTGCCTCGGTGCCGCCTGAGTCCCCCTGGCCCTGGGAGCACCCCAGAGACCCGAAGACACTTTTGGGGAGTTCTGCCTGTGCCTGCTTAGTGCTGGGCGTGAGACTTGAGGGTGGGGCTGGAGGGGCAGAAGCCGGCCTGGGGGGGGTACCCCCAGTGCCCGGGCGTCGTGGCCACAGAATATGGGACGCTGGGGGCAGACCCGCCCGCCAAAGGACTGTTGATGTGACTCAGATGCCGCCGTTGCCGCCGCCGGTTGTCCAGCCCCCCCGGGCTCCCCTGCCCGTCACGGGTCCTCTGAGACTCCAGGACCTACCAAGGCAGGTCACGGGGACCCTGGCTTGCTCCAGAGGAGCTGTGCATCCTCCTCCGTGCGTGGCAGACTTCAGTGGGTCTCCCTGCGTCAGGTGGCTTATTTTTCTACAGTATTTAAGACCGAAGTAACTAACTGCACAAGTCAGAGAGGCCAACAAGGACCTACACTTCTCTATCTGGTGCTCAGTTCTCAGCCGGACTTGCGGCCCGCCCACGCGGCGGATGAGCTGTGGGCTCCGGGCCCAGGTGCCGGCACAGTGGCACAGCAGCGGGGCTGTTGGGAGGAGGGCGGTGCTGGCATGGGGGATGGTGGAACCACCTGATGCCATCTGATACCCTCACCTTCGCTGCGGCCCAAGGCTCAGGCCACACTGGGCGGGTCACCTGACATTCCACCCTGGGGCTGCCAGTCCTGTCTGTGTGCGCCCACACCTGGGCTCCGGGAGAACTCCCTGCCCATCTGGACCAGCCAGGGGCCACACCGAATCCTTACCTCAGGAATGGGCCCCGCAGTGAGGGGACCCACCTGTCAGCAGCATCCTATGGGTCCCCAGCTCAGGAAGCCGTCCCCAGCTCCGATTTTCCCACACTAATATGCACACTGAATTTGAATGAACTGTTGTTACCCCCTTTGGGAAGGCATACCTGGGGCTCTTGACCCCAATTCCAGTGAGGGCTGACCCCAGGGGTCCTCACAGACCTCCCGTCCCAGGTGACGGGCCCAAAGGTGACCGGCCCGGCATTGTCACACCTTCCCCCCAGCGCTGGCTCTTCCTGGGTGGCAAAACCCCAGAGACCTCAGCGGGCGGGGCGCCCTGGCGGCACCCCAGTGCACAACGCCTGTAGACTTGTGTACCACTCCTTCAACGTTGTAAAGATGCTGATGTACAATTGTCGTGTGTTTGTGTAAACACATCACGTTCCTAGTTCATGCCATAAATGATGCCATAAAGCAAAGACTAAGGCTCCATCCTGTGTAGAAGCGACAGCTGGGTTCCTGCCTTTGGTCTTGTGCCTGGGGGTGCTGGGGGTGGATGTCCCCCTCAGTTCCAACCAAAGAAGAAGCGGCTGTAGTGTCTGGGAGAGGGGCAGAGGCCTGACTTTGCTGTATATTGTACCGGGATGTGCCCTAACTCCCCATTTGTCCCCTTGGGCACGGGATCTGAATGTGGGTCACAGCCCCAGCCAGATGTGAAGCGGGGCGCGGCAGACAGGTGTCAGGGACCTTGGAACCCGGTCTTCAGTGTCTCGAGAGGCTCTCTGGTTCTTGCTCAATGTGCACATCCTCTCTAGAGCCTCACAGTGGTAGGAGAAGGTGGCGTCCACAGCTCAGGCCAGCCAGGGGGACATACCGCCCCCAAAATGGTCACGTGAGGAATAAGACCATGGCGCCCCATGGGCAGGCATTTGAACACACTCAGAGAGGCCTCCAGGTTTAATGCATCTTTCTGTATTTTTTTTTTTGCAAAGCCCTTACATTGTAGCCGCTGCAGACTGCTCTTCACAGGCCCGGCCGGGTCACGAGCCCCGACCTGCCCGAGGCCGGGAGCACACACCAGCTGCGTCCTGTCTGGGGCCCCAGAGCAGACGCCATCCAGCGTCCGATCTAATTTGCCGGGCAGACCTGCCGGCCTTCTGTGCTTAGCAACGTGGCTGCAGTTGGCACATCTGCATTTTGGCATCTGAAGTTCACATCTGAGAGGAGAGAAAGTGGTGTGTTTCTTAGAAAGGAAGTCTTGTGAAAACAGCTCCATGCCGGGTGTTTCTGGAGCCTCCCGTACGTCGCCGGTGCCGTGGCTGATTGATGGAGATGCCCTGACGTTTCCAAGCAAGCTGTCTTTTTGATGAAACCATCATGCTGGGAGGGAGGGAAGGGAGTAACTGAGATAGTAGACGTTACTCTTTATTTATTAAATAAATCAGGAATATGATTTTACATAAAATGGAGGATGTCTAAATTTCTAGAGAAATACTATCCTCCCATAGAAGGAAATTCAAATATACCCAGTCTCCATCAACCGTAAGTACAAATGATCAAGTCCTTGCAAGCGATTTCTGGCTCCTGGAATGACTGTATCCTAAGTAATCTGGCATTGTTTCTTCTGCTCATCAGAAACCTCCAGACTAAGTATTTTTGGTTATAAGCAACCGGACAGAGAGCCCCCTGCTGCCCTGCCCCAAGCCTGTGCCAGTGTGTGGCGAGCTGGCCAAGGGGCAGCAGATGGCTCCAGCCGCAGGCACACACAGGGCTCAATGCCAGGTGACATGAGCACCTTTCAAAGGTTTTTTTTTTGTTTTTTTTTTTTTTTAAATTACCACTTGATTGTGTTCCTTAGAATAAATAAAGGATATTTTATAAATTACACACCCAGCTCCATTGCCTGGTTTCTAATCCACCGGCTTGGATGATTCTAGAGCTACCCCTTCTCACCCTTGACTTGATCAAGCTGCCGAGTCGACCTTGAGCAACCCAAGTCCCTAAAACCTAAGCGTCCCCACATGAGACTGGGCCCTAGCAGCTGGGGCGTCTAGCGTGTGCACCCCACCAACCCCAGGCCCTCACTCAGGAGTCCGTCTTCAGGACAGTAGGTCTTTTTGCACCGTACTGATTGGGCTTGCATGTAATGTGAACCCACACACCAGTGCGTTTGAAAATGGGCCAGAGAAGCACAGATGTGAGGAAGGATGCACGATGCCGAGCCCCGGCTGATGAGCATGGGTGGAGAGGTGACCCCCTCTCCCGTCCAGGAGGCAGACCTGAATACCAGGGTGACCTACCCCACTGGACCCAGGCCTGCCTGGTGGGGGGTTATGCCACGTAGGTGATGAGATGAAACAGGTAAAACTGGGAGGTGTCAGAGAACTTTCATGTAAAGGCAGGATGCTTGGTTCAAGTCAGTGGGAAGAGGGGGTGGGGATCAGCTGCTGGCCTTGAACTTGACACGTGGGCTCATTCAGGGTCTCTTAGACCTGGGAGGTCATGGTTTGAGGGCTGTAACTTCAGATGATCTTAATCACGTGGGCAAATGAATTCAGCTACAGAACTCAGGATAGCATATAACGCTGGTCTCATCTCAAAGATGGTGAGGATATGCCTGGCCCTCTTTGCATTCACCCCAAGTCCCCCCCACAAAAAAGGGGGGTGGGTCCATGTAGAGAGAGGCCCCTGTCAGAAGATCAAGGCCTGCGAGGTAGCCCTGTGTGAACCAGGAGAAAGGAGAAGTTATCAGTAGCAGCTACAGCTGCCTGCTGCCTCAGGAGCAAAGCCAGTACTGCCTACAAAGTTCTGGAACATTCTGAGATGTCCCAAATGTAGCACAACCCCAGTGAGGGTCGAGGGTCAGAACAGAAGGGCTGACCGGGCAGGGCTCCACTCGGCCCCCCGTGTTTCAGGGACAAGGTGAGCCTGGCCCCTCCGAAGCACCCCAGGTGCTTAGAGTCCCCCCACCTCCCCTTCCCTCCGACCTCCCCTTGCCCGTCCCCTTCCCACCAGCTCAGCCCCTCACTCCTAGCTGACGTTGTTCTGTATGCTGGATAGCAGCTTTCTCGGTCCCAAGCCCCAGAGCTGGACAAACGAGGTAACTGCCTGACCCATGGGAAGTTGTCCAAACCTCAGAGTCCCAGACTGAGGGGGGCTCACCCTGGGGATGTGTCTCCAGGCAATGCTGTCTCCTTCACGGAGGAGGAGACCCAGCCGCCTATGGTGAGCTGAACAGAATTTGTGCTACTTTATGGTCATGACTTTCTTGAAGAGTGTGCTCACGTACCTGCCAAGGCTTTGGACATCAGTTGGCAGAAGGGTCCTGCGTCATGCAAAAGTCCTTACCTTCCCAGCCACAGAATCCTTTACTTGAGTCTCTAAAGTTTTCTGGGGGAGAAGCCATTTTATGTTTCAAGTTTGTCAGAGCATCAAACATGGGTGACCCCCAAACTCCCTGGCCCCCTGTAGAGTCAGTGTCTCAGCCTCAACTCAGGCGTCTTCAGAGCAAACCAAGCTTTGAAATTCTAAGGAGACCCAGGGAGAGACGAGGTTAGGCTTAAAAGGGAGGGCTGGGGGTGGCTGCAACTGGATTTTTGGCTTTATTTCCGGCTGGTAGAACAGTCGTCTACAGCTGTATCGGGCAGCTGGCAGACGAGAATGCGCCCCTTTGACCAGGGGCTCCCCACTCGGATAACAGCCGGTTCAGCCAGGAGCCCAATCCGTGGTCACCCCACAGAAATCACAAACCAGGACAAAGTTTAAAGAGCAGAGGTGGCGCCTGGGAGGAGATTCCCCGCCCTGCCCCCCAAGAGCGCACAGGCCCCTGCATCCGTGGCCAGACGGGCGCGCACAGCCTGGCAGGGGCTGAAGCTGCTCTGGGCCAAGACTGCCGTTCGCAGCCCTTGTCTAGAATGTCACCGGAGCGTCGTCCTGTGTCCTGGCCCCGGGCCAGGGCTCCCGAGGAAGCTGCGGTTTGGGGTAGCAGCCTGCCCCAGCAGGGCGGGCGGCGGCGGCTCCCACTCCGGACTCCCGCCACGCCCTCTGGGACGCGCACACACCCCCGTTTCCCGGCCCACGGAGACACGCCTCGCCCTGCAGCCTAACAGCAGGAAGGCGGATTTGTACGAGTATCTACAAGGTCCTGGAATTCTCGCCCGGTTGCCACACAGTGTACGGAGCATAATTGGGGGGAGATTGCGCAACTGCCTGCGAAGCTGGGGTGTGCAGCGAGGGCGCTCCAGGTTCTCATCACCGCGTCCGGGAGCCTTGGGACACAGCCAGACGCCAACCTTGCCACCTTAGGGTGGCACTGCTGGCCCGGCTCCAGCAGGGGAGCAGGGCATTGCTGAAAGTTGGGGGACTCCAGTTCCTGCTGGGCTGATGGGAGTGAGGGCGGGGCGGAAGGGCCAGCCTGCAAGCCCCTAGAAACGGCAGCCTCGCCCTGCAGAGCCGCCAGCAGGGCCCCAGGCTGGACGCGCACCAGGTCCTGAGGGAAGGGAGGAGGTGGGCAGGGGAGACCCCACCCTGCTAAGACGACTAAGACGGGACTGGCAGCCCCTCCCCCGCTGGGGGCCTGTGCCGGGCAGCTGGCGGCATTCTCAGGCTCACGGTGCCCCATGGGTGGATCCACCCCTGGGGCCCAGTGAGTCACTTCCCCAGGCCCTGGAGGCCTTTGGTGAAGGTGCCTCCCTCTCTGGCAAAGCCTCCTTTGTTCTGTGCTGCCCTGACACCCTTTCCTCCCCTCTGAGTTGCAAACTCAGGTCCTGTGGGTTTGGGCGCACCAGTTGTGAACAGGACTGGGGTGGGCAAATGGGCTGGGGGTGCAAGAATTCACCAGAGACAGAGTGGGGAGCAGAACAGGTAAACTGACTGAATTATACTGCTGAGGGGAGCAGCGGGGAGACAGGAGAGGTCTGCTGGGCCCTGTGGGTCAGCTCCTGGCCGGGGATTGAATTTGTGCTGCAGCGGCTGCGGACAGCTTCATGGTCCCAAGACCTTATCCCCTGGCCACCAGAGAGGCCATGGTGCCTAATTTCTTACTTCCTCTATCTTTTGCCCTCTCACAGCTCTCTCCCACCTCCCAGATGGCTGAGGAGCCCCCACATCCTTCACAGGTAGTGGGCGTGCAGCATCAGGGGTGCAGGTTTGGGTGGTGCACCCCAAGGAAGGTGGTCTGGATGTGGGTTCCCTGGCGGGCACCACCTGCAGCTGCCAGGCTGCCCCTGCCTCCTCTCTCCTTGCCTCAGGGAACAGCTTCCTTGGTTCAGATGATCACACACTGTTGCTTTCTTGGTCCGGCCTCACCTGGGCTTCGTGCAGTGCCCAGGCCCTGGTGTAGAACCCATGTGGCAGCCGCACCCAGGAAGTTCATTCATGCACCTTCAGACACAGCCTCTCATCCCCTCCTGGCCCTCCCACCTTCCTGCTCCAGCTGGCTGAGAGTGAGGGGCAGCGCCTCCTGCAGGCAGAGGTGACTATCACAGCCCAAGCAACGGTCTCAAGCCGTCAGCACCAGCCTCACCGCCAGCGGTGGCTCCTGTCTTGAAGAAGTAGAAAAGTAGCTTCCCAAAAAGTTGTGTGCACAAAGAGTCTCCGGTTTTATTTACGGACATTAAAGGGGGGGTGGAGAATGCCCCCCACCTCCCCACAGCCCCCTCCACATCCCCCCCCTCTTAACAGCAGCGAGCAGAGGATCATCATCTACTGTCCTTCCACAGACATGCCTTGCCCACAACCTGCCGGAGGCCTTGCGGTCTAGTGCAGGGTTACTGGGGAGAAGCCAGGGTCTGGGCCACCAGCTCACTGAAGCCTTCCACGCACCAGCTCACTGAAGCCTTCAACCACAGCCCGGATGGAGGGGAGCAAACACTGTCATCTGCAGAGAAAAGGGAAGGTGCCAGCCCCTCAGCTGACAGGAGAGTCAGAAGAGCAGGACCGACTGGCTTCCAAACCTGTGCTCCTGCCTCCATAATCAAAAGCTCGTGTCCCAGTCCAATTGCTGCTGTGACACGTAACCACAAACGCAGTGGCATAAAATGACCCAGAATTATCACTGCATTGTTGTAAACATCGGACACCTGAAATGGGTCACACTGGAATATAATCGAGGCATCCACAGATCAAGGCATCCTACATCCCTTCCTGGTGATCCTCGGGGAGATGCTTTCCACATCTTCTCCAGCTTCCAGAGGCTGCCAACATCATATTCTCCGACCTGCGCCCGCTTCCTCCATCTTCAAAGCAACATCTTTAAATCTCTCTGACTCTTACTCTTCTAGACTCATGATTACACGGGCTCACCCAGATAATCCAGGATAATTGCCCTATTTTAAGGTCAACTGATTAACAACCTTAA